TCATTGAGCAGAACTGTTGGCAGTGTCACTATTTGAATGTCATTTTACATACTTTAATTTTGTAACCTGAACAGCTATGTCTAAGATGACAATATGTAACTTATCAACTGGTGATTTCTTACCATTTATTTTTCTGTAATTCTGTATTATTTCTACCCTCTTTTATCTCCATGTATTTTTTTTTTTTTTGGTTTCTTTCTCTTTAAATAAAAAAAAGAGAGAGAGACAAATTTAGTAATACATGAAGGGGGTCTGGGGGGCAAATGCCTCAGGACAGGCAGAGACAGACACTCTGAACTACCCACCATTTATTGGTGTATAAAGGATAGGAGGGGTTAGCAGAAGATTCAAGGTCATGGAAGACTCAGAGACCTGTGACTCAGTGGGCAACAGATAGTTTAGTTTTAGTGAGTGGGAGAGAATGGCCCATCCCCACAGAGTTAGTATGACTGCCGCATGGTGGAGCACACCTGTAATCACAGCACTCTAGAGGCTGAAGCAGGAGGATCCTTAAGAATTAGAGACCAATAAAAAAAAAAAAAGAATTAGAGACCAGCCTGAGTTAAAAAGTGAGCTCAAGGCTAGCCTGAACTCCATAATGACACTGTCTCAAAAAGACAAAAAAAAAAAAAAAGAGTTAATGAGAAATCTCAAAAGGGTGATACCGATAATCCCAAACCTCCATTTATCTCTTAAAGAAGTAAGCAAAATTAACCATTATGATCCAGGTGTGGTGGTGCACACCTGTAGTCCCAGCACTCGGGAGGCTGAGACAGGAGGATTGCTGCAAGTTTGAGGCCAGCCTGGGCTACAAAGTGAGTTTAAGTCCAGCCTGAAACGCATAGTGAAAGCCTGCCTCAAAAAAGGAAAAAAGAAAAAAATAACCATTATGAAATTGTGGTTCCCAACCATGGAGTACATACCTAGCATGTATAAATCTCTGAGTTTGATCTACACGCCACAAAGAAAGCAAGCAAGAAATAAAACATTACACATATGCATTTTGCCACTGATTTATTGACGTCCCTTTAGTTGAGTCTGGAAAAGAAGGAGATTTTTTGTAATGAGTTATTTTATTTTATTATTAGTTGTTGCTTGTTTTTTGAGACAGGGTCTCACTATATAGCTCAGGCTGGGCTTGAAGTCACTATGTAGTCCTAGGACATCCTCAAACTCATGGTGATCCTCCTGCCCTGAGTTCCCAAACACTGGGATTATAGGAATGTGCCACAAGTCACGGCCTCTAGTGAATTACACTAGTTAAAAATTTTTAATATTTTGTATGTCACATGTTCAATTTAATACTTTTATTAAGATTTAATTCACAGCCATAAAACTGACCAACTTAAAGTGTACAAGTTCCTGGGCTTGTATGATTGTCTCCATGATGTAAGTTTCCAACATTTTCATCGCCCTAAAGGGAAATGCTACATACATGAGTAATCACTGCATACCAGGCAAATCTTCAAGCCCTAGGCTACCACTACTGTACTTTGTTCTTATGAAATTTCTTATTCTGTACATTTTGTTTGTTTGTTTCTTCTTCTTCTTCTTCTTCTTCTTCTTCTTCTTCTTCTTCTTCTTCTTCTTTGGTACTGGGGATCAAACTCATGACCTTGTGCTTGCCAAGCAGGTGCTTATGCCACTGAGCTAAATCCCAGCCTGTTTGTTTTTTCTTGAGACTAAATCTTGCTATGTAGTTCAAAATGTTCTTGAACTCACTATGTAGCCCAGTCTGGCCTTGAACTCTGTTGTAGTTGGAGATTGCAAGGGAAACAATTTAATACAGGACACATAACTTATAGAATTATTTTATGATAGTTGAAAGGTTCTCACCCTAGTATAAGTTACAGTACAATTATGGTAGTGATCTACCATGGTGGAAGGCCAAGCAGGAGCGTTTACCACGTCCTTCTCTTTCTCCAGCCCTAACGGCAGCTCCCTTCCTGTTTGTATGCTCCTTTCCACGTCCTCAATAAATGGGTTCCTTTTTTTTTTTTTTACTTTTTGCTTCTCAATTTTGCCAGAAAACTCTAACATGTTGGTGCCTTGCAACTCGGACTGGCAGAATGCGTTGGCTCCTGGGTGTCACTCCCGGTTCAAGCTCCCCGGCCTACAAACCACTTTTCCTTCCTCTGGGACCTGCTCATTTGCCACTGCCAGCCCACATCCCACACCAGCCCTCTTTCATCACTGTGAGCTCCCGTCCCAGGTTTTCGGTTTCCGTCCCTCGTCCCTCGTCCCTCGGTGGATAACAGCTTTCACATTCCTTGCATTGCCGAGGCAGAGCTGTTTTCAACCTTAAAAATTTGCAAGCTTGCGTCAGAAAACCTATCTGTTGCCAACCCTGGACAAAGATAGCAGTTTCATGTTCCTTGGGCAGGACAGCTCGAGGCAAAACTGCTACCCTCTTGTTCTCTGGGACCCCACCCTGCACTCTCGGTGATGCCCAATGAGAACCGATGTTGGGACCTTCCGTGTCACATTTTCAAAACAGGTGATGACTTCTTTTGATAAGTGTGATCGAGGACAGCTTTCACATTCCTTGAGGAGAGAGCTAAAGCTCTTACACCCTGAGGCAAAGTTGTTCTCCTACCCCACCGCTAATCTGGTCATGGGGAATACCATTTCCTGTCCCCCAAAAAACATACCTCTGGGTGCCTGGTTCATAATTTTGGTGCTTTTGGGCTTAAGAAGGCTATAAAAACCAAAAAGCTTATCTTCTATTTATACTTTGGTCACAACAGCAGCAAGTTGGCAGAAACCCCTTATTTTCAAGAATTTTTCACTTTGAGGACGTGTAATGAAAGAGTTTGGCCCTAGAATAAATGACAGGACATCTTGGCGGTGGAAGGCCAAATCGGGGATGCTTACCCTGAGGTCCCTTCCTCCTTCCCCTGTTACAACTTCCTTTTTCCTTTCCCAGTGCATGTGAAAAAAGTTTCAATCAGCTCCTCACTTGTCATCAATGCCCGCCCTAAGCACCACCCCGGCCAGAGGTTACATATACCCACCCCCTCTGCTCCATACCCCACACCCCAGACTCCATGTCCAGGACAGAGGAAAAACCCAGCCAGCTCTCGGTTACGGGCTCCTCTCCACGTCCTTAGAATAAAGGTCACTTTTACTTTTAGATTCTGATCCTTTACTGTGCTGAAAAACCCTAACAGTTCTTCGCTCCTTCTGTCCTGTACAGTGGCCCAAATTCTTCTGGCTGTCTGCTCCTCCAGGACCCTCCTTCCTCCCCAGCAGAGCCCGTAGATGAGGCGCCTCCTGTCTTTACTGCTCCTCCTGCACAGCCCCAGGTCTAAACCCCTCGGCCCTTTCAGCCCCCTCAGGTCTCTGAGCCCCTGTTTCATTCTCTTCCCTTTCCTCAGCCCAGCGGCCTCTCACCTTCTCCGTACCTTGTCTCCCATCTCAGATTTCCCAGTCCTCTCCTCCTGAGCCATCTATTCCACTGGGTGGCTCTTCTTTGTCTCTTGTGCCTGTGTCACCATTCTCTCTGCCGGCTTACCATACTTGGTCTCGTGCATTCAACCACCTAGCAGGCCACACGGTATTCGATCACCATCTTGCAATCCTATTCCCACATGGTCCTCAGCAGCCATCTTGCTATAATTAACATAGAGGACAGCCACCATTTTTCAGCCCTCCACCATGTTGTGACGGTCACAGGGTAAATGGCCACCATCTTGCAGTCTCTCATCAGGGGATCAGCAGCTGCCATCTTGTTGCAGGTCACATGATGACCACTTGCCATCTTGTGCTTCCTCATCATGTCACCAGCAGCAGCCATCTTGTTGTGGGTCACATGATAACCAGTCGCCATCTTGTGTTGCCTTGTTGCATGGTGACAAATGGCCATGTTCCTTTTCTCTCATGGACCTATCTCAGATTAACCATAAATTAAGTTCCTTTTCTTTTGGCCCACAAAATTATATTAGAAAATTTAAATTTATAATTAATTGTTATGATTTACATTTCAAAGATGCTTATGTGATCCTGAACACCACTCTCAGCTCACAAAAGTGGGCTCAGCTAAGGCAAGCAGCTCAAAAAAGGGCCGATCATAAACATAAAACAAACACTACTACTAGGGCTAGGGCTGGGTCTGTTCTTCTTATTTCAAGAGATCTCTGTTAATTAACCTACAAAAAGTTCACACTAGTCTACTTATAGTTCAAATTAGCCAAATATATTTGAGAGCACTCTGATTTTGTAAGATGTTTGTCAGTCTGTCTGTGTATCTGGTGTCTGTTTGTCCAGTCTGTTTATTATTTTTTTCACCAGATTTGCTGCTGGATGTTCAGTCTGTTTATACTGTACAGGTCATTTATCCATGTTTGTCCACTTGTCTGCCTGTAAACAGCTGTTGCTTTTTTATTTTTTTAATCTTTATTGGTACCAGGGATCAAACTCATGACCCCATGCTTGCAAGGCAGGCACTTACACTGCTGAGCTAAATCCCTAGCCCAGCTGTTCTTTTTATTTGAGCTCAACAATCTTTTCTCTTTTCCTTTTTCTTTTGCATCTTCAGATCATTTAATCAAAGTTTATTTGGGTTATAAATTTTAAAAAGCATGCTTTCACCTAGGTTGCCAGCTGGTGGCCTCTAATGCTAAAATTGGTTAAACAAAATCCCTTGGTGTGAAGAGAGATTGGATAAGACTTCAACTGATGGATAACAAAGTGGCTGCCTGGTAACTTTAACCAGTTCTTATTCATTAATTGGAGGCCCCAGTAGTCTCGATAGCCTTATGGGAGACACCCCAACTAATGTTCATATGGCTAAGATAATTCATTGTTGCTGATCTTTTTTTTTTTTTGTCTTTTTCCTTTTTATCGGTACCAGGGATCGAACTCACAACTGCCTGCTTGCAAGGCAGGCACTTATGCCACTGAGCTAAATCCCCAGTCCCTTTTGTTGCTGATCTTATGGTATATGCACACCTTCAAATATAAAATTGAGATTGTTAATGATGATAAATATTTTCTTTCAGATCCAGACATCTGCCTTTTTCTTGTGCTCTAGCCAGGAGACTCAAGTCAAACCAACATGAGGTCACCAGTCAAATGGTAATTTTTAAATGAAAGTTTATGCAATGTGTGTTATATATGTGCCACTGTACTTGGAGATGCTTAGATATTGAGCAGTCCAAACCATGTCACAAATTTCAGCAACATCTTCTTAAAGGACACGTGTTACAAAATATCATCTCAAATGTTAAAACACCCGTGGTTAACAGAAAATACCAGTTCTCTTTAATGTTCTGTGTTAAGCTTACTGTCTCTACCACACTGTACTGTCATCTATCTTTTCTTCTGGATGTTCAACAACCAAAATTTAGAGATAATTATAAATTCCTTTTAGGTGCACCAGATCTTTTCCAGGAAAAGGTTGTATGACTCACATTGAGGCCATAATTAGCTGTACTCAGCAGGCCTTAAATGACACCACAGCTGATCTTTCTCCTAAATAAAAAGGTAAAACTAATAAAACAGGCCATCCTGCAGAATCAGGTGGCATTAGACGTTCTAACAGCACAGGAAGTACTTATGCAATTGTAAAAACTAAATATGTGTGTGACAAATGAGTGACATACCAGTTTCTCAAACTCCCTGTACCTCATCCTTGTCCTCCTTCTGGGAAGCCATTACCAGGACTATACTCATAATTATCCTTTGACTCTATTATTTGGCCCATGCATGCTTAACTGATTCTTTGCCTTTGTGTCCTCTAGACTTAAAGCTGTACACCTACACAAGTTGAAAATGCCTGCTGTCGGGGGCCGGGAATTTAGCTCAGCAGCATAAGCGCCTGCCTTGCAAGCAGGCAGGCATGAGTTCGATCCCCGGTACAGATAAAAAGGAAAAAGACAAAAAAAAAAAAAGAAAAGAAAATGCCTGCTGTCTACTGAGTGCCACTAGTTAAAAGCTCTGCAGAGTATCCCTGACCGCCGTTCAGCAACTTCAACCCCCTTCTTCCTAAAGAAGACAGCTCGGTCATCACCCATTACCCCTCACAGCAGTTTGGGTTATTTCTTCAGAGGGAAAAATGTTACAGGCAGCTGAGTCAGTTAAAAATATTATAGGCAGTCACACAGGTCTGGGCCTCATAGGAGCCAATACAGAGGACCAGATGTCTTATGACCTTAAAGGAGACAGATATCTCCCGCTATGGGCCAGATCCTAAGACAAAAGGCTAAAGTTGGCCCTCAAACACCAACAGAGACCTTCTTAATATAGTTTTTCATGTGTCCAACAACAGAGATAAAACTCAAAAAGAGGAAAAATAGCACTCTGATCTTTTAGCAGTGACACTTGTGGCTCCCAAGACAGGTAAACCAAAGCACAGTGGAGATGCCTTAGCTCCTCCTGGTCCATGCTTTAGGTGCAAAATGGAAGGACACTGGGCAAGAGACTGCCCCAACCCAGGAGTTCTTTTCGGTCCTGGTCCCCTTGGCAATCTCCAGGGCCACTGGGAGAGCAACTGTCCTAGCTGCTAGAGAGCAGGTAAGCCATCCTCTATCTCTCTGCCCTCACAGGAGATCTCGTCACCACTGGGTTCATCACTGGCTGATCTACCTGGATTTGCTGCTGAAGACTGATGGGGTTCGGGGCCTAAAGCCCCCATTAAGGTGTCCTTCTCGGAGCCCTGAGTCTCACTGGAAGTCTCAAGGAGACACTCTCTGTACTTGTAGACATGGAAGCAACATATAGTGTTCTTTCTGAGTTTGCAGGCCATTGTATTAAGTCCTCAGTCTCTGCAGTGGGTGTGACAGCCAACCTATGCAGCCTCTTCAAACAGGACCTCTTCCGTGCAGGTTCCAGACTATTCATAGCTTTCTGGTAATTTCGACGTGTCTCACACCCCTTTTAGGTAGGGATCTTCTCCAAAAGCTTAACTTCCCCTTTACCTTCTGCCTCCCCTCAGCTCTCATCCTCCAAACACCATCAAAATGCACCGCAAACCCATCTCTCCCCTCTTCCCTTGTTGATCCCAGCTGATTCCCGGTTGATCCCTCCAACCTCACCCATGCCACCCATGCTATACCTGTTTTAATTTGTCTCAGGGATCCTTCCATTTTTCCTTGTGTTCCCCAATATCCTACAGCTCCCAAAATTTATGAGGGCTTAAACCTAAAATCACGTATCTTTGTTTTTTTTTTAAATCAGTACCAGGGATCAAACTCACGACTGCCTGCTTGCCAGGAAGGCACTTATGCCACTGAGCTAAATCCCCAGCCCCAAAATCACGTATCTTTTAGACAGTGGTTTTCTCAGACCTGCCCGTTCACCCTGCAATACTCCCATTCTCCTGGTACTCAACCCTAATGTGTCCTATCATCTGGTACAAGACCTTAGGGTCATCAATGACTCTGTTACCCCAGTTCACCTAGTGGTGCCAAACCCTTGTACTATGTTCTTTCATATTCCTCCCTCCACCACTCACTTCATAGTCCTAGACTTTAAAGATGCCTTTTCTTTTTTTTACCGTCCCCCTATACCCTGATTGTCAGGATTCCTTTGCATTTATGTGGATAACCCAGACACTGTCAGGTTGTAACAACTTACACCTGTCATTGCTGTGTTAGAACCTCTCCTCAGGGACACATATCACCCCCTTCCTTTCCTACTCATCAGTTTCATGGACACACCTGGTCAGACAGATTTTACACACATGCCCTGCCACAAAACTCTTAAATATCTTCTTACCTTTGTCTGTGCTTTTTCAGGATAGATAAAAGCCTTTCCCACAGCCAGAGACACTGATGATGTAGTTACTAAAGTCCTGTTACAAGAAATCATTCCAAGGTTTGGTCTAGCCTTTATTTCTCAGATCACTCAACAGGATTACAACCAAAGTGGAGTGGCCCCTTCCGGGTCTTTTCTGAAACTCCAATGGTGGTCAAGGTCACTGGACCGCCATTCTGGTTCTGCGTCACTCAAGCTAAGCGGTGCCTTCCTAACCCTAGCTCCCCTGCCTCTACACATCATGAGTGGTCGTCACATCTCCTGTCTCCCACCTGTCTCACCAAGAGCCCACAGCCGCAATTTTCAGGCTAGGTCATGTTTTGTTATCCTATTTGGTTCCTGATCCCTAACACTATTAGGTTTTTTTTGTTTTGTTTTGTTTTATTTTGCTACAGGACTCTGGGCAGTCTTTCCTAAAGGCTCCCAAGTTATATGTAAAGTTATTTCATACTGTTCTATGTAACAACTCTCTTAGTTCTCTCCATCCTCAGCTGTTTAGTTAAACATGAGACTCCTGTGGGTCTGGGCTCTTAGAGTGACGCAGGCACAGCCCTCCCCACCCTTAGTTTATAATTTCCCAAATGTGATTCCACGATCAGCCCTGACCTTCCTCATGTTTCCCATTCTCTCCAGCTCAGCCCCTGGACCAAGGACAAGTCCTCCCTACACGTTTACTTCTGCCTTTTCAGACAGGGAAGTAATGGCCCCCACAACTTCAGCACTCCCAACTCCAAGCTCAGCCTCACACAGTGAGGATGGAACAGCACATTCCATCAGATCCAGGGCACCTGTCCTTCTACCTCTCCTGGGTCCTTTAATTATGACAGTGTCCTGCCTCCTCATAGCACCTTGTCTTTCTATCTCTCCAATTGAGAATGTGAGCCTTTACCAACAAAGAACTCTTTGTCCTGACTGAAACACCAGTACCAGCCTCTAGATGAACATCAATCATCACCCCATGGACCTCCTAAACCCCAAAATGATGCTCCCGTCCAGCAGAAAGTAGTAAGAGATGATCTTCACCCTTTTCCTAACAATACAAAGATGGGAATGAAAGATTCTCACCCTAGTATAAATTACTGTACAATTATGGTAGCAATCTATCATGGTGGAAGGCCAAAGTGGGAAGCTTACCACTTCCTCCTCCTTCAGCCCTAACTGCAGCCCCTTCCTTGTTTGTGTGCAAAGAATATTCCAGTCAGTTCCTCACACATCATTAATGTCTGCCCCACGCACCACTTCTGATCAGAGGTCATGTACCCCGCTGCCTCTCTGTATCTGGTCGAAGGAGACAGCCCAGCCACCATGGATTGTGTGCTCCTTTCCACGTCCTCAATTCAATAAACCTGTTCATTTTGTACTTTTTGCTTCTCTATTGCACCAGAAAACTCTAACAATAGTTACCCAAAGAGTCAAATACAAAGGAAAGTGCAGGAAATCTGTCCATACACTGAGACCCAAAGAACTCAGCTGAGGGCCTGGATTCTATGGCAACGTCCTGCATGAGTCCAGCTGAAGACATAGAGCCCACGACAATGACTCATGCACTGGGAAGACCCAAAGGTCAGTGGAAGCTAGAAAGTCTGTGCAGAGGAATGAAGACTCTGCTAGTAGATTGAGAGTTTGGCACTAGATGCAGGAAGCGATGCTCAAAGTAAGGACCAGAGCTCCCCCAAAAGTACCACAGCCATCCTCAGTGACAATGAGTCCCAAGCTCCTCCGATGATGAGAACAGCTGAGTTCATATCAGGAAGCCGGTGTGACAGGCTTCTCCTCTGAAGCCCGAAAATGATGCTCAAAGTAAGGATCACAGCTCTCCCAAAGTGAACAGTAGCCATGCTCACCCACAACAAGGTTCCAAGCCACATTTATACCAGGAAAAAAGCTTGGCAAACTCTTCCAGCAGGACCAGTGTTGACAGAATCAACAACTCTCCAGTTCTCCTTCTGCTGTTGGCAACAATCCTCAGGTGGGCCCTCCTCACCCAGCACCAGGCTGATGGAGTTCCGCTGGGTGTCACAAGCTGTCCACCAGCTGTCAACCCACACAAACTCTCTGCCATTCTTCTGTCTTAGCCTCCCAAATGCTGCGGTTATGGATATGCACCACCAATCTCCGCTTGATTCTTCAGACTATTTATTCTCTTTTATGGGGTATATTGTAGGGATGGGGTCTGTAGGCACCCAAAGAACTCAATAAAAGGGCTTCACTAGAGTTTATTAAAGAAATTAATAGAAAATATTACTAAAAGTGGCTTTTGTGTCTCTGGTTAGATTTGAGCCATAAAAGGACAAAGAAAAAGAGAATCCAGACCTACAAAGCACCCACACAATTAAGAATTTATCAGAGAAAGAGCTGATAAATCATGGAGGAAGCCAGAAGCAAAACTCCACCCACCTTTAATAAAATACAAAGGAGGAAAGGGGTGGTCACTCAATTTAAAATTCTCATTTAGTATATAAAAGTATTACCCCTCTATCTGTTATCTATCTATCTACCTATCTATTGTAAACCCACATACCAAGTTCAGTTATCCACGTATTGTAATCCTCTTCCTAATTTTCCTCACAATCCAAAAAGTTATATTTGTAATCCCACTCAGACGTTATTGGAATCCCAGCAAGTTAATTCCAATCTAACCACCACCAATCCAACCCACGACAAGAGACACCAAGACATATTCCAAGTTAAGGGCAGCCAAGGGGTCCTAAATCCCAACCCTGTAAGGACATGGGGACAAAGGCCCTGATCCTAGGCCTCTCCTGGAATTTATTACCTTGTGAAGAAGGAGGGGGGGGTGGCTCAGGGATGAGTGACAGTGAGGATGGCAGGGAATTACCTGAGTAACTTGAGCTGGCTGGCCAGGTGCACAGGGCATCTCTGTAAATTGCAGAGATAAAGATAGGCAGAAGGATCACTTTACATAATCCAATTAGGGTAGCAGGGGAATTGTTTTGGGGGGCTATTGCTTTGGTTTCTGATATGCAAACTCTTGTGCCTTGGGGAGTCATAGCCTCTTATCTTGAGGCTCCTACCCAGTTGACATTCCGGGAGCTATTTGCTCTAACATCTCACGTGCTCAATCCTGTACACAGAGAACACTATTCAAGGAAACAGGACTGTCTGTTGGCTATAGAGATTGCATACTAGCACCTTGGCTAGCCTTATTTGCAATGCTCAGAGCCAACTGAAGAGAGAAGGAAATACCCAGCCAGCTTTTTACATATCAGAGTAAGGAAATGAATCTCCAAATAATCAAAGTCACAGCAATTGTTTTGGATTCAAAGGGACTCACTGGAGTTGTCTCCCACAGTATCTATCTGTATACCCTCTCTAGGGTCACTATATTGTTATTGACACTGGACAACAGGCCTTCCCTTAATCACTAACTTTAAATTGCCTTGTCTATAAGGCTTCTCCTAACCAACCGATAAATTCCAGAGATAAGGCTCTGATAAGGTCAAATGAGCAGAAGAAATTCAGCAAAGCCAAGGTTATGGCTTGAGTCTAGATGTCCCCTGAAAGGCTGGGACTGCTAGTGCAGTTCTAGGTGGGGCTTTTTCAGAGGCGGTTGGATCTGGAGTTCATGGTACATTGCTAGGATTAAAGGTCTTAGGGCTAAGGATGGGAAATTACTAAGTCAGTCCACTTACTGGTTTTATACCACCATAATCCCAGCAGGCAAGATACAATATATAAAGGACAGAAAGAGGATTGCTCGTCCTCCCTTGTTGCTTTTGTTAGCTCATGAGCACTATTGAAATGTTGTCTTCTGTGATGGCCCTCTACCAAGTAACACATCCTTGGAGCCAGCCAATTATGAACTGTCTTAGTTACTTTTCTCTCTCTCTCTCTTTTTTTTAAATCAGTATCGGGGCTCAAACTCACAACCGCCCACTTGCAAGGCAGGTACTCATGCCACTGAGCTAAATTCCCAGCCCCAGTTACTTTTCTCTTGTTGCTGGGACAAAATACCCAACTCTCAAAATTAAGGAAGGAAAGGTTTATTTAGCTCTCAGTTTGTGGAGGTTTCAGTTCATAATCAGCTGGCTCCAAAGCAGGGTGGCATGGCTCTGGGGCAACACTTCAAGGCAGCTGAAGACAGCAAAAGCATCAAGAGCAAAAGTGATACAGAGGAAGAAACTCTCAGCCTACTAGATGTCCCCTATGAGTTCATGTTCTCTAAAATCAAAGAATTTTAGGAACAAGGGCTGGGGATTTAGCTCAGCGGCATAAGCGCCTGTATGGCAAGCAGGCAGTCCTGAGTTCGATCCCTGGTACCGATAAAAAGGAAAAAGACAAAAATCAAAAAAAACAAGAATTTTAGGAATGATGGAGGTTAAGAGCAGAATATACTTATTGGGGGAAAGAAAGCTTCCGTCTGAGGGAAAGAGACGGAAGTGGGGGGTCCCAAGTGAGTTGCCAAGATTCTGCTTTTCTGTGGGCTTTTATAGATCAAGACCTGTTCCTCCCAGTGCCACGTAACTCGCTTCCCTGTTGAATCCTGATTTAATCTATCTTACCTGAGCAATTACACTTGTAATCTTATTGGTTGACCACAGTTCTATTCCACCTCATGCCTGCCTTGTGAGTTCTCATCTTGGACCTGGTACCAAATAAAATAAGTTTGCAGGGCTGGCCATATGACTTAGTGGCATAAGCACCTGCCTGGCAAGCACAAGCTCCTGAGTTTGATTCCCTGAACCAACAAAACAAACAAACAAAAAATATTGTTTGCACAGGCATGGTGGTGCACACCTGCAATCTCTGCACTCAAAGGTCTGAGAAAGGGGGATTGCTTTGAGTTTGAGACCAGCCCGGACTATATAGTGAAACCCTGTCTTAAAAAAACAAAGAAACAGCAGAAAAAAATATATGCAAAAACAAACGAAAGATAAGTTTGCTGTCGGGCGCAGGCTCTCAACACACCCCACCCGGGACGATAAGACCACGTCAGCTTCCGCAATGCACTACGTCCCTCTCTAAATTAGCCAACCCGTGCGCACTCGCACTCCGTATTCGCCCCGTGCCGACTCTGTGGCAACCCCTGATTGGCCACAGCTGGATATATTAGCCAGAGCCTGTGTCCCATTCCCGCCCTGCTTTCTCGTGGCAGCCTGTGATTGGTCACGGTCGAATATATAAACCAGAGCCCGCGTAAATAAAGCGGTAGTTCCTGTTACCACCTGAAGCGTTTCCTGTTTCATTGGGGCTGCGCCGGTCAGTTTGCAGTTTTGCAGACTTCCTCTGCAGAAGAATAATGTTTAGTTCATGAGTGTAAGAGAGACATGGGAAGGTTAGTTAGAAATATAGGATACACTCAAGAGTACAGTGTGGGTACTCATAGAAATGAGGTTCCATACAGCTGGGATTGGACATCTTTTATGTGTTTTGGGTGGTGGGAGTCTGTGGTCTTGTCTACTGGGCTGGAGAAGATGGCCTACCCATAGTGAGATAGTGCTAAATACCAAAGGGATCCATTGATAGGTTTTATTTGGAAGTAAAAGAGGGAATGGGCAGTCCCTTTTGTAGCTCTCTGGCAAATTTTTACATGGATTGTAAATATCTTAAACTAAGCTATAACTTCAAGTAACAGATGGGTGAGCTGGAGTAAATACATGATGTACTTTGATAGTTTCAGAACCTGCAGCCATCGTGGCTGAGAAGAGTTTGAGTGGGAAAATGAAATGAAACAGATGAAGCTGGAAAAAGTAGATATACGATTGTGACCAGATGGGGTCCCTGGTGTCCTGAACAAAGAATTGGATACGAAACAGAGAAGACAGTTGAAGGTACAGGTTTATTGAAACTAGAAAAAAAAAAAAAAAAAAAAAGAGTGGGTTGATGAAGGATCACAGCAGCCCAAGGATATATATAGGTATCTGAAATACCTGTACTGGCTCCACCTCACGTAGATATGGCATCGGAATGACTGTCCTATTAAAATTTTACTTAGTCTCACACCAGATGTAAACGAAGAATCAGGAACGAGTTTGTTGATTGGTCATGACTATAGGTAAATGAAGGATGAGGAGCAGAGTCTTCTAGACCCCAGCCTTTTTCCATAAGGCAACACCTTTTGTGGACTGCGGGGGAAGGGAACAAGAAGTCAACAGGAAGCCAGCCCTCCCTGAGAACCAGCGCCATGCACAGGCCGCTGCACTGGGGGACAGCCAAACCCCAGCCCTTTCTGGGACAGGGGCTGGGAAACAAGAAGAGCCAACCCCCTTATCCCTGGTTGCCACCCCCATAAGCAAACAGCTGATCAGAGCAACACAGGCTGCCACAGTAGCTATTGAGATGAAATGCAATTTAGTTCTTGTGGTGTTTATTGTTTCACTGACTTTGTAGATCTAGA